TATAATAATAATAATAATAATAATAATAAAAATAAATTCACATAAGTTAGTATATATTCAAATAATATATATATATATATATATATATATATATATATATATATATATATAATATAATAATATATATATATATATTATTTGAATATATACTAACTTATGTGAATTTATTTCTATTATAATATGTACTTGGATTAAGAAATCTATTCAATCATTTTCTATGAAGAAGTTTTTTCGATTTCAGCAACTTTAAAACGAAGAGTACGATACCAGCCAGTTTGATAAGCTCGGTTGGTTTAGCGTTAAATGAAGCATAATCGGCTCGATCTAAGACAATCCGTGCGATTTATAAATTACTGAGGATTGAAGTCTCGCATTGCAACCAATTAGCCGTTCTAATAACCGAACACCAGTGTCGCTCGCCCGGATAATCGAGGTTCCACTGCAACCGATCCAACTTCGCAAAAATTCGCAGAAACAGAATCTCCACGATTTATAGGATCCACGATCGAAACTGCCCGATTCAATGACTTACCGCGTCGTTATGAATGCGCACTTCCTGCCTAGCTTGAGCTTTCATCCTTCTCCACTGCTGCTTGATCCTGGGTATGTCCCGTTCCGTGGGAAACTTTCCCAGGAAATCGTTGTAGATTATACACCAAGCTTGATTCTTTATGGCCGTGGCGGCCGCGTCGATCCTCTTGTTGAGGATCGCGGGGGCATGTTGCTTGATCAAGAAGAAGAGGGCCTGTTTCTCTTTCGGGAGCCAATTTTGGGTCCGCTCCCGCCTTTTCGCAAATGTTTCATAGGACGACGACATTTTCCACTATTGCACCGATACCAACTCTTAATGCTGCATTAATTAATGTAACTCTTCTTCCACTCTTCTGCTTCGGCGCGATCGATGGATCCCGATAACTTTTCCGAACTGCGTTTGTTCTTACCCCTTCGAATTCTGTAGACAAACTTGTCAGTCTACGAGGTTCCACAAGTATCCGACCTGTGCATGTACATAATTCTGTCCTTGAATATTCAATTGTAAGAAGCAGGTACGGGGCACTATATGAGTACCCTTACCGATCAACGGGATCACTGTCCAGGCGACTGCAACACGCAGTCATTCATTCCTCGAACATTCAATTCGAACATGAATGTCGCATTACACGATGGCGAGTCGTCGAATTTGTATCGAATTCTGCCAAAAACTTGGTCACACCTGTTCGGGGAGAAAATATGGCATTCATCGGCTTCGGTAACGCGATCGGATACGCGGTACGGTCCGCGATCTAGCACCGCGTGATTTTTGGTTACTTCTAAAACTGAAAAAAAAACGTTGAAAGGCCGACGATTCGACGACGACAAAACGATGAAACGAAACGCGACGCAACGGCTGCTAACCATAAAAAAAAGAACTTCCAGGACCACTTCTTCCAGAAGTGGATCGACTGCTGGAAGAGTATTATAGCGTCGGAAGGAAATTATTTTGAAGGTGACGCAGTGAAAATTACCTCGGAATAGATATGTGTTAAAATACAAGAAGAGGTCGGATACTTTTGGGACAGATCTCGTATCATAATGTGTCCTGCGCGGTTCTTTCCGAGGATCGTATTTAACTCACGTGACCATCGGCCATATTTGTAGTCGAGTCTAATTTATAAGATCGTCTTAAGCATGATCTTAAAGCGCCACCTAGGTTCATAGTTGGTTCTCGAGATTTTTCTTGAAACGCTAATCGCGTAAATAAGGCTCGACCGTGAATTTCGATCCTATAAAAACTCGCTTAAAAATACAAATCTTCGAACACCAGACATCTAAGAAATCGCAGATTATTATACGTTTTGTACGCCATCTCGCAGCGTACGGATCTCGAAATTGTATAAATAGAACGATTAATCATGCTAACTGTGTACACACGAGAAAACAGATATAGTTGAACAATTTCTAGGAAGTCTAAAACTATCGTTGCAGCGTATCGTACAATAATCGTTTTACTAACCTCTACAAGCGATAATATTTTCTTTTGTTTTTCTCTACGTGCTACCTTTCTTTGATACCAAAGGATTTTACCCGCGAATAAACGAATTAAACGACAATCATCCGGCCTGGTTTTAGCGAGGAGTGTACAATGCGGTTCGAGAGTGTTTAAAGCGCGACCGAAACAGTGCGATGTCTCTCCTTTACCTAATCGAGAAAGATCCGACAGACTTTCCGTCTATGTTAATCCAACAGCCAACGGTTGATCGATGATTAACCGCGTGCACTACGATTCCTTTTATAAATTTCATTAATTCATAGGGAGAGAGGGAGGATGGAAATTTACATTAGTTTTACGTCTAGATCAATTGTAATAGCCAAATATCGATAGCAGAGAAATCGAATGTTATTTCGATTCAAAACGGACGACTAGCTTTCATACTTAGCGCAATCCGTTCGAGATATTCGTAACAAGTCGGACGCGATATTACAGCGCAAGGGGATTAAAAACTGTTTTACCGACGCTGACACGTTTCATGTACAGACACAGTGTTCACGGCGGGGATGATCGAGCGATCTAGGAGAGAACAAATCTGATCCCCCCCTATCAGGGGTTTGGATCCATGGCCGCCGAGGTTCGATCACTCTCGGACGATTTCCTCCGTTTCCTAACATCGTCGTTCATTCGGAACAATCGTTACCGACGTTTCACGCGCGCTATTCCATTTGCACTGCGATGCAGGGCTGCGGCCGACTCGATTGATCGAATAAAAATTGAATCGCGCTCGTGAACTTTCGCCGGAGGAACAACACTTTCAACTTCCGATGCTCGGCGAACTTCCTCTCTCGAGAAGTGAATCTGTGTTTCGCTCCCGTTCGAGAAGTTCTCGAGGGAGGTTGCGAGAGGGGTTGATTAAGGAAAAAGAAACACGGGAGACCTGCGTGCAGACAAATAATAATTACCGCGGTACAACAGTTCCGTGGACTGTGCACGGTTAATGGCTCGAACTTTCGGATCGCTCTGCGAATCGATTGCGGTTGGGGCAGCGAACTAAACGGGCAAAACGGGCGAAACAGGGGGTGAACCGGGGTGAAAGAGAAGAGCTATAACGGTAAGGAAAAAGAGGCCAGTACTGGATTAAGAGCTTTCGCGGGGTAGCTTCGCGTGCATTTTTTGAACGACCGCGAGGTGCGTGGGCGAACGATTCGACCCGAGGAAAACCGGAAGTCGTGGACTACGGCGAGGCGCGATACTCCGCGAAGCTCGGCTAAACCTGAACTAAAGAACGACTAAACGTCGGCCATTTTGGCACGGTACTAGCTAGGCGCTCGATATTAACAAATCCTCGATTCCCAGCCGAGAGGGAGCGACGCTTCGCTGGTGGGACAGAGAGTGACGGAGGCGAAACCCTGGAGGGGTGGAGAAAGGGCGTGAGAACCAGAGAGGGAGGACATAGGAACGAGAGAAAGAGAGAGAGAGAAAGACACACGTGGAGGAAGTGTGTAAGTGAGAGAGAGAGAGAGAGAGAGAGAGAGAGAAAGAGGGAGAGAGAGCAAGAGAGAAACGCGCATGTGGAAGAAGAGAGATAGAGAGAGAGAGAGAGACAGAGGGAGAGAGAGCGAGAGAGAAAGAGAGAAAGAGGGAGAAAGAGCGAGAGAGAAAGAGAGAAAGAGGAAGAGAGAGCGAGAGAGAAACGCGCATGTGGAAGAAGAGAGATAGA